TTGTATTTGGGGTTAATGAGATATGTTTCGTCAATTAGCTTGATTTCCAGCCCCGCAACTTTGGAAGTCTTTTTGACAACTTGACATTGTGCTAAAAATAATTGAGGTACAGAAATTTATGTTTATGTGTAAATGGATGTAACAGTAGTCCTCGCCAAGTGCCGGATTACGCAGTGGAGTTTGAGAAGAAACCGTTCTCCCCACGTTCCTTTGATTCTCGGCAAGCAATCACGAATGTTTTGACTTTTTTCCAGATATCAAGTTGAGTTCTTTTTCTAAATCCGTCATACATCCAGCAGCGCTGCATTGGAAAACATTATGGAATGACCCAGAAGTTCATCACCTTTCGTCTCAGGGATACATCGTCGATTACTTCTTAAAGCCACATGCCTGTTCAGAGACAAATTTTACAGGCACGTTTTGCTGTTATGTATGGCATTTGCGCTTGATCCATTTATTGTATCAAATCATTGATAACGAAACTGAGTGTCATTTTCAAAATGAGCATATGTTTTTTAGCTTTTTTCTTTAATTGGAACATAAAAACGGAAATACCGATACAAACGTCATGAAAGATTTGAATGATTCCAGCTGATCATGAAAAACAACTTAATCTACACGGGTATCAAATACAGTTGCCTGGGGCGATCTCAATAGATTATTCCCGAACAGGAGTGAAATCAAAACAACCATTGACAGGTTATAAATGGAATGTAACAGTGGAAAATCTTCCAGTCTGTATCAGACGAAGATTGGAGAAGATGGAGTCAAAAGCGAAAATCAAATCCCACGTTCTGATGTTTGGACTTTCAGTCAATTTACTTTTGACGCTATGTTCACTCGGTTTTACGTGCTATTCTTTGAATCGATTAGATTCACGTCTAACAGCAGTTGAACAGAATCAATTGCTTCAAAATCCTCCTCATCAGCCTGCCAACCAAGTAATAACCAAGCCAACACATGCTCAACTGCGTCGCAGTGGATCACAAACGAGGGACACTATACGCTTCAAAAGGGCTTCCGATAGTCAGTCTATATGCCAAAAGTGTAGCAACATCTGTTCTTACCCCCACGATGCCCGGAAGGTAAGATTTAAACTTTTAATTGCATGCATTCTCCCTCGCAGATTTCCCTCGTATGCTTTCCTGAAAGTTTTGCACAGAAAAAGCATTGGAAGAATTATTGATGAGGATATGTACATGTGTCACTAAAATTGTTAGTGTCTATCTCGTTAGTCACCGATCTTACCCGTTATTCGTAACTGTCATATTTTACATGTAGAAGTTTGCCTTTGAAATAGGGGATAGGAAGGATTTAAGCTAAACCAAAAATTTGCAACTTCGTGTGTATAGAAGGGCCAACCTGATTAACTCTCGCTATAGCTGGGTTACATACGAAGCATCATTTGAAATCTCATCATTTAACCTTATTTTATTATCGGTCAAAAATAAAACCAACCAACAAACAAAAAACTGATGTGGAAATTCATAATTGAATCGAGCGGAATTAAATTTTATTCCTACAAGTGTCGGATAACATTTCAAACACAAATTTTGTACGTGAAGCATCTTGATTTTTTTTTGCACATCTAAGTTGAATTACCTCGAATCTCCCTCAGTTAGAGAAATAGATGGATTTGGGTACCTTAGTTAGAAAAACTTTGATTTAACATCTGCATACAGCTTTTTTTTGTAAGGGGTTTGCCAACTATGCCATCAGAGTAAAAAAGATTACATCCCATAAAATGTAAGCTGGGAGCTCTGATGCTTAACTAGACACACCCCGTCGGTTGACGTCCGAATCAATCCTTGTTCGATCTTGATACTACTCGTTTTACTCGTTTTACTCACTTTTAATATTAATATTATATAGATGAAACAAAACCCAACTTTAATTCGTCAGTGTACGGCGTAACTGTGGAGTGTAGTGTAGATATCATAAAAATGAAACTTTGATACTGCAATGTAACCATCTAGTCGAAAAATTCCAACGTCACCGCACGCTTGCTCTCAACATCCGCAGTGCTTCTTGCTGTGAGACCTTTCGGGCATTTTGATTGAGATTATGAACTGGTGTTTGTCTTCCTGCCTCGATAATTAGGAGTTAGCACATACTGAGTATCTTGCTGTGCTACTCTTGTTTCTAATAGCTATTCCAAACAATGCGGTTATTTGAAAACTACTTATTTTTTTTTATGTCGTTTTGGGACATACAGCTTTTTAGTTATAATTAGAAGGTAAAGACAGACTAATGGAATCACGTGGGTGGAATCGCAGCACCAACCTGGCAGTCCGTGCCAGTTGGACATATGATGTATCTTTTTGTTGGCCCCACCTGAAAGACTTAACTGCGTGAGAAGTCCACCAGTAAAAATGATGAACTTATTAGGAACGGCGTGAGTTTAAGTAAGAAGAATTAATGATTAGTTCACTTGTCACAAGCTGTTCCAAAAGCAACATTCCTTCATTTCACGTTTGTTTTTACATTATTCTTCAAACTGATACCGGGCAAGCCTAGGTAAGAGTTTTTTTCATATCTAAAAGGGGTCTCACAGTGCGAGTAAACAGTTTTAAGGTTGCATTCCGCAAAGTTACCCAGAAGTGGATATTTTGTTTGGTATCACTAATCCGAAATTAGAAACCAGTAACCACCCGTGAGTAATTTACTCGTTCATTTCAGGCAGAGATTGGTGAGGGATTCCTCTACATTTATGTACCTCTGTTAGATGGGTCATAATCAAGACCTGTTTTGTATCAGCACTCAGTATTTTGTGTCTTAAAACATACTGTGAAAGAGGTTTTCATTCCTAATTGTTAAACCTAAATTATTTCTGTTTCTTAGGCATGAAACAGTTTAAAAGCGGGTCCGTGGAGGGTCATTGAGAGAATTTATAATTCCCAGACAAATTTATTCATGCTAAATTTAAACAATCCATTGAATCGCCAGTCAATCGGCTTGCCACGGAATTTCGATATTTCAGAAGCTGTCAGTCACTGTGTTCCTAAATGTGCTGGTAATTGATGCCTAAGGCACTTTTAAGTCATTGAAAAGGAATGCTGACAACTCACTTTTCGTGCTAAGCTTCAATACTGCTTCAATTAAACCAATAACAACAGAGAAGCCTCAATTAATATCTCATGACAGAGCTTAAATTTTAGGAATGTGGTAAAAAACAAGCAATCTGGATTTACCAATCGTAATAGTCGAGTATAGGTGGATAATTCATACCTGTATCTAAAGGTTTATCAATTGATCTGTTTTTCATCAACAGAATTCGACAGAACAACACACCCTGCAAAAAGTAATTTGTGTAAATGGTAAGTTCATCTCAACGTCTTCTGCTAGTCAATGTACCCAAATTCTGTCCTGTTCTTTCCTATTTTCTCATCATCTGGTACAACGAATTAATAATTTAAGGGGTTGGATCAATGTGTCTCATCTTGAATTTTTTCCAGAAATTCTCTTGGTCAGATAAAAACATGACATCTAACAACTTTCGGTGGATTTGTTCTGTCTTCCCCCAACTCCGCCCAACGCCTTCCTCCCCCCTAAAAAGAAAAAATATTCACGTTCCTAAAACATTCTCAATCTCACTGTCTTATTTCAGCCCACCTGGGACTCGTTTCGCAGTTTGCGGTAACCTCACGGGCTCAAAGCCTCTTACCTTTTAAATATAATTTTTTTAATTGAATCAGGTCTGTTCGCTTCTGAAATTTTGATTGTTTATGTTTAAAACCATCAAATTTCTCGATTTTAAATAAAAACAGGGCAAAAAATACCAGATTTTTTACTTTTAAGGTTACCGCTCTGTCGAGAATGTCTTTGAATGAACGAATGAATGAATAGCTTTTTTAACATCTCATCAGGTCGTGAAGTACCACAAGGTCCACCTGGTCCTCCTGGGGTACCCGGTGCCCAAGGTGCTCGTGGCTCACCAGGAACGTCTGGCCCTAGGGGCCCGGAGGGACCATGGGGACCTCCTGGAAAAAATGGGAAGAGGGGAAAGAAGGGAACTAAAGGCGTCGCTGGTCGGCAAGGGAAGCGGGGCACTAGAGGACCACCAGGACCACCAGGACCACCAGGACCACCGGGATTATCAAAACCACCGGTAACCCCTGGGAAATCGTCGCAACACGTCGCAAATGTTAGCAGTGGAGGTTCCCTAGGTAATGACTAGAATCTCTATGACAATGGATACTTTTTCAACTTGCAAAATATAAGTAACAATTGGCAACTTCTAGACTGGAACGTGATATTTCAATGTTTTCATTGCTTCGTGTTTGGTTTGTTTGATATTTGGCATATGTTCTCTTCCTCGTCATTTATCATGATTGTGATGTTTGTATTCCAAGATGCTCTCGATTTGGCGTTAACTGTAAATTCGATCGTTGTAAATTACAAGCCGAGCTTATGACTTTTATGGACTCTGTAAGAACTGTTACAATTGGCTGTTTATATGAGTAAAAGAGTGACAATCAATTAATGCTCTCAGTCTCTCATATTTTTTATAATCGTAGACATTACAAGGCCTGTTCAGTCTCAAAATAGCAAAATGAATGCCAAAATAACAGCAAATTTATTTTTTGAATTATAAAATTAGTGCCATAATCATAGTAAATTCAGTCCCTAAATTACAAAATTAAGGCTATAATTAACAAGAGCACATTTAGTCTTCAAAATGCAAAATAATTGCCACAATGATAATACATTTTGTCGCCTAATCGCAGAATGAACGCAATAATAGTGGGAAATTTAGTCCTAAAATTGCAAAATGATTACCATAAAGATAGCAAATTCAGTCTCTAAAATGAAAAAAAAATTGCCATAATGATAGCAAATTCAGTCTCCAAATTGCAAAATGAATGCTGTAACGATAATAAGTTCTGTTTCAATTACAGAATTACCATACTTCGTCACAAAGCCTCCATCTTCCTGGACGGTCAAGGAGAAGCAAAATGTGAGATTACCTTGTGAAGCGGGTGGCTTTCCCCCGCCAGTAATTACATGGTATAAGAATGGATACCCGATAAAAGATGCGAGAAGGCAGTTTAAGGAACGCAATTTGGAAATAAAGGAAATTGTCTTCGAGGATCGTGGAACTTACACCT